TGCTAGTATTAATTAATCTGATTTCATGGCCGGAGGTAATGCGAATGGACTTGATGGTTTCTTTCAAATCAGACCTTAACCCTCTTAGGTTTACATAATATTAGGCAGACATTGTTGATTGACCAAATTAACTGATAGAACAAAATGTTAAAACAAACACTCTAGAGTCCATTTGCAGTCAAAACTTGTTTGTCACCACTGCCGCCGCCCGAGAGAAGAAAGAGAGAAAAAAAAAAAAGAAAAAGAGAGAGATGAGTTGGTTGTGAGGAGATGACCATAAAGTGCGGACCTGGGTTGTGGAGAACAGAGTTTATTAGGTCAACTTCACCTGACTTTTATGAAAATCCAATTTGTATTTTGTTTATGTTCTTCTATATCTTCTTTCTTCGATGTGATTGCATTCACGAAAGATAAATTTTGGAATGATGATTGGATTGTCGGAGACGACTGGAGAAGTGAGGATGTGTCTTTTAAGCTTTGCCCCATTTTTTGACCGTACAGCATTGTTGTCACGCCGGCACCATCTCAGGCCAGCAATATAAACAGTGGTGTTTGGCCCAAGTTAGCATATACCAATAACCAATTGAAGATATAGAGAGATGAAGAATTGAGAATGGTAGTTTAGACATTATGAATTACTTTTTTTATGATGTCAGCAAAAAACACATGTCTAACCAATTGGTTTTTTTTTTTTTTTGGATAACTCGGGACATCCGAGGTTGCACCCTGACTAATTTCCGATGACTCAGGAAGGGCGCCTCCCCACTCCTAGCCAGGTAAGTCGCTGAGTATACTTCTAATGAAAATCAAACCTCAGACCTTGGTGCTAATAAGCACTCAAGCTCAGATAATTTTAATGTCTAACCATTGTTGATTGTTGATTGAAAGGTGAAATTGATGCGTGTCACAAGAGATATGATTGAAATTATACAAACCTAAGGAGGTTTGATTGACATATAGACATAATGGATGTGGTCTAAATCATGAAGATTACCAATTTTTTTTTAGTTCCATGTTTTTCTTTTGAATCTCTACTAAAGGACGATTAAAACAAAAGTGTTTATAATGTCTTATATGAAATATTTAAACATAAGAAAACAAAAGCTATGACTATAATGATTTAAAGTAAGAAGTAAAATGCTTGGTAATGTTAATAACAACTTCTTTCAAACTTCATTCATAGACATTATAACCCTCGACTGAAATTGTTGTTGAGGTGTGGGATCATCGACAGCATTCCCAATTTGTAGCCTGGGGTGGGTTCCGAAGCGGCTCTGCCCAGGTGAGTTCCGGTGCCAGCCAAAAAAAAAAAAAAAACAAAAACTTCTTTCAAACTTTATAGCTTAGTTTATTCTTTATTACTATATATATTTGTGATATCACTGACGTGTGGAACCAGGGGGTGATTGGCTGAGTGGGATTCATAGGTTTGCTGGTGCCATTATTTATCAATGTCGAGGTGGCGTTTTTAGTTGACTTTGTCAATGCTCACCATGGGGCCCACTATAAGAATTTATTATTATTTTTTATTTTTATAGCCTAGCATCAATAGGGTGAGAGCACTTTAGGCCAGTCCCTTTTTACCACTCGGCAATACCGCCACACCTCATTATAAGAATATAAGATAATAATAATAAAATTCAATTCGGCTGTTACTTTCGCGTTAACTTGAGATTTTATAACTAATGTCGAGTAGCGCAACGTATATCACAATTATAGAATTATTTCATCTGTCTCATAATAGTTGTTCACTTTTAATTTTAGAACATTTTAAAGAAATATGTAATAAATGCATTATACCCTCATAAGATTACTAAATTGTCTTCCAAGTTTAAATAAATACCTTATCAAATTGAGTGATTTTTAAAATTTTAAAAGGTAATTTTGGAAAGATTGATTTTATCTTGCTTTGACTTTTTAAAGTGGACAAGTATTTTGGGACACCCCAAAAGAAAAAAATAGACAACAAATATGAAACGGAGGGAGTAATAATTTTTTACTCCAATAATAAAGAAACTTCATTTCTGATTGAATTACTCAAACAAACTAAATCTAATCTAAATACACCACTTACCTTGGAAATTCAATGATTTATCTTCAAAATCTAATGTAAACTCAAAATTCTCCTCTTTTGCTTGTAGCTCCTTTAACCTCTTTAATTTCAAATTCATGATCGTGCGATTGAACTTCAATGGTTGTATCTTTTAATTTAGTATAAAGATCTTCATTAGTGTGTAAACCGATTTTATACAACCACTGATAAACACGAATAAGCAATATTTACTAGACCATGGCCACCTCCTCGAGTAAAAGCTTCCACAGTGAATTTACAGAAATATCATTTAATTCGTCGTCCTCAAAAAAGAAATAAGTAAAGTTCCATTGTTGAGTGACAAATAGAAAATTCATAGAAAGTTACAATCCCCACCACATAATAGTCTTGGATTTCATTTTCTGTATGCCGGGGAGTTCACCTCTCTACATTCATTATTATCCAAAAAAAATCATGTAATACCCCTATATTTTAAAGGATTTATTTAATTAATTTAATTGCTTTTCATTTGATTGAGTTGATTTTTTTGATTCAATTGGGTGTTTTATTTAATTGTCTTGTTTTATTTAAATTATATTTTTAATTAAATTATATTTCGTATTTTACTTGTTGATTTGATATGATGTTTTGCTTTGTGGAATGCCATGATTGAGTTGTTTATTTGACTATGTATATGTTTATGCTTGTGTGATTTAATTGTGAATTGTTTGTAATTAATAGATTTAATTTAATTATTGTATTTATTTAAGTTAATTGGATTGGGCTTAAGAGAAGTTGGACCAATGGATGTGTATATATAGAAAATTAATTAATTATTATTATGGAAGGAAATATACATATATATTATATAATAATATATATGTATATATATATTATTTAAGATTATTATTATATAATTTAAGATTATTATTATATAATTTAAATTGGCTACTTAGGTATCAAATGGTACCAATTTCATTCTCAAATTCCTATCCTACTAGGAGATACTTATGTTTTAGTGAGACGGTGTCGAAAAATTATTTAAATTGAGATGGAGTATGTATTTATAGGAAACCATTTCTGTAGGGCCTAGAACCTTGTGTTATGATAATTGATGGGAAGGATTAATATTAATTAATAAATTTTAAATTAATATATTATATTATTAAATTGTCTAATTTAATATACAAGCCTAATTAAGGAATGGAATGATGTTTTTTGAAATTTATTATCTATAAAGCATGTCTATGCTTGTATTTGTATAATGTATCACGGCTATATATGATAATGATGATTTGATACATTGGCATGTAAAATATGGAAGTAATATTTTATGTGTATATATATATATAACATATGTTATCTATTGTATGGATGTTGTATTTAATAAAAAATGTTGAAGGTGGTTTATTTGGAGACATGGATAAGTTGTCATGGCATAAACAGATTGCCATTTTATTGTGTGAACAAAATAAAATGCACACATTAATAATATGGAGAATTTGCTATTATATAGTATGGACAAAATCATACTAGTGGAGGTATGGATGAGTTACTGATGCATAGATAAATTACTATTTAAATTGTATGGACATAAACATACTCTTGGAGGTATGGTAGAGTTGCCAATGATAATTTAATTATAATTAGGAGAAATATATTCCATTATAAGAGTGATTGATTTATTATGATTCATAAGCCATTTTAATTAAATATATTGAGGTTTAGAAGATAAACTTTTAAAAGAGGGTAATTTGTTCAATGATAATTCTATCTATATCTATATATATATATATATATATATATATATATATATATATATTGTTATTTATGGTTTAGGACTTGGGGAATTTATTTATTTATTATGTTTAATGTTGTATATTGTAAGTAAGGATAAAACTTTATTAGTGTTGGTTTTAATTAGAGATGATCTATTTATCGGATTTCAAAAGGCATAGTAGAGGGAGCTTGCTCGTGGGTTTTGACCCACCATTATTTTTATCTTTCAGGTTCTTAGAGGTTCAAGTCTCGAGGTTGAGTATCTGCAGCTTGGAGGCTCATTTATCATCTACTCTTTGTCATTTGACTTTAGTATTTATTTATAGATTTCTAGATAGTGGATTTTGGTTAAGGGGTCCTTGAGTTACGGGATTCCCGAGTTGTAACTTTTAGAGGATTATTAATTAATGAAATTATTATTTATTAGTTTTTCTTCAGCCTATTATTTATTATTTTTATTTCATTTTGTAATTTGTGCTTGTTTAAATTCTTTAATTGTTTTGATATCCCTTGGTAGTTGAGGGTGGACTTGATCAACCCGCGTCTCTGAAATCAGAGGGTATCACACTTCGAGAGATAACTTCTGAGTTCAACTTCTGAGTTTTCCTGTCCTCATTTCCGTACTAAAAGTCAGGAATGGAGTCTGATAGCATAAGGGGGGTAAAGGTAAACCATTGTTCGCCGTATCCGCCGATACGTGATGTATCGGCCCATACATGATGTATCGATCGATTCGTAACTATTTTTCAATGGTTCAATACTATTACGGTAATGTCCCGATTTTTTTTAGATTTTTGATATTTTTTTAATTTTCATATTTATTGTTTTTGAGCATTGGATTGTGTGCCATATGGGTTTTGGGGACTTTTTTGAACATTTCTTTGAGTGTAGAACTCTTAGAAATGCATTACGGTGCATTTTTTCATTTTTGGGTTTTTAGGCCGAGGAGGTTTCGTGTAGACCTAGGCCGAGTTTTCGCCCTCGGAAAATTTCTCAGCTTTATTTCATCTCATTATTTTACTATTGGTGCATTGTATATAGGTATTTAGGTAATTAGATATTTGAGTGGCAATGTTATATTTTTATATGGCATGAATGGACATTTTAGTCAACTTATAAGTCAATGTGGGGACTACCATTGACCAAATTGTACACAAAGGGACCAAATCTGATTTTTAGCCACAATTCACTCCTTTCTCTCCCCCACACGTTTCTCTCTCTCTCTCTCTCTCTCCTCTTTTTTCTTCTTCTTCTTCATCACGGAAATGAAACTCAAAACCTTGGTTTTGATCTTAAAACCTTAGTTTTGATCTAGTTCAAGAGGGATTTTGGCTTCATGCTAGTTACAAAAGTTAGAAAGCTTGCTAAGAGCTACAAGATGATATAATCTATTTGAGGATTGGAGCACATTGGAGTTTCGGGTCTAGTCTAGGGCTTAGATTTTGGGGCAGCTTCAAGAGGAAACGTTGTTCCCCTCTTCTTTCTCTTTAAACTTGGTGGTGTTAGTTTTCATTTTGGCGGAGTTTCATCTTGGAGCAAGGCTAAGGATTGGCTTGGATTTGAGGTAAGGGTGGCTGCTAACCCAATTGTCTTTGGTTTTTAGTGAGTATTACTAGCTTATATTGTATAAAAAAACATGTTTAGTTTGAGAAATTTGAAAGTATTGTTCTAGGTTAAAAAGTGTATCCATGAATGCTATGTTTCTACTTGTTAAATTATGAGTTTTGGTGCTCGAATGCCTAATTGTTTTCATTATATGATTTCATGTTGAAAAATTCAGGCATATATATGACAAATGTGTTTTTGGTTGTAAAAAGTGTGCTTGCCTTGTTATTTAAACATTAGCATTTACTTTTATTATTCAATTATGCTAATTGTTCACTATGCCTATCAAATGTTTGATACAATGTCTTCATGAATGCATAGGCTAGCTTTTATGGAATGGCTTGAGTATTTGAATTGAAATGAATGACCATTGATGATAAATTGAGAAGAATGCATATTTCATACATGGCATTGGCATTGGCATGGTTGGGGAAAATGAGTCGATTAGTTAAGAATGTGATTGGATTTCCACAATTTTTGGGGAAAAAGTTTTTCAAGAAAGGAAGGGCCGGAAATCGCGATCCGGTGGCTAATTCAACCTAAAGGGAGAACGTGCCGGATTTGGACGTGTATAGTTGAACTAACTTGGCCCCAAATATCATCAGTTTTGAGGCCAAGGATATTTAGTCAATTTTACCTTGGTAAAGTTGATTAGCAATTTTCTAGTGTGAGTCGCGTGACTTTGGTTTGGAGTCGGAATAACATTACATGACTCATTATCATTGACATTGATTACCTTGTTGTATGTGAGTTTGTCGTATGGAATATTATGTTTTGTCTATGTCCTATGTTTCCCCAATGGATGTTTCCTAGCTCAACTTTCCCCTTTTTTGGATGTTTAGCTCAAGGGAGCTCAAAGTATTGTGTTTTAAGGATTTCCTACTGATCACCCCTTTATTAATATTTTCAGGGACATATATAGAAGCGCCACCACCCCCCCCCCCCCCCCCTCCCCCCCCCTCCGAAGTTTAGACTTAAAGTTGCTATCCTTTGACCCCATTTTGTGACATGCCTAATGTAGGAGGAAGACCATATCATCAATGTTAACTACTTTGTATTTTGATGTATCGACATTATTATTGTTGTCGTATAGTCTCAACCATGTAAATATATTCTTTTGTTAAACATGTGTACCTTAAGCATGGATGTAATGAATTTCTCATTATTTTGCACATGTAATTTAAATGAATGGGTTGAAAGAATCCCATAATCAAATTTTGTGTTATGTAGAGAGATAGTTGTAACTAGTATAATTTTCTTACTAAAAATCAAGCATAAGCACAATTTTTTTTAGAAAGTGAAAAGGGGAATAAAATTGAAATTGCATATAGTTTTCTCAACAAAGCAAAATTTTTAAATTTTTTTTATTTTTTATGCTAAACAAACTCTTAAACAGTTTAAAAATTTTCCTTTGTCTTTTTCCATCTAAGCAAACTAAGCCAGAGTAACAAAGTGAAGTTTGCAAGAAAACAAATATAGATGAATTCAAAAATACAAAAAGATGTGAGAGAATAAAAAATAGGAGATGGACTGAGATATACTGTGGGTGTTTGGGATTGTTTCTCTATTATTGAAAAGTACTTTCATTTCAAAAAATTGTGGTGCAATGGGTTTGGTAGAAAAAAAACAAGGCTGATAGGTGGTAGAGTTTACGTCAAAGAAGTGCGTTTAAGTGAAGGTAGGAATCGTAGCTTTTAAAATTGCCGTTATGGTAGAGGTTCATTTTTAGGTAACTAATTTTTTTTAGACAATTTAACCTCTTTATATTTTTTGTAAATATAATTTTGCCCCTGCTGCAAACAAATAGCAAACAATATACTCTGTTTTACTCTTCAGCCGCCTTCCAACTTAGATACAAATTAATCACCATTAAAACATGTTTTACTCATTTATATTTTAGTACTCAATACAAATTCAATATTATAAACAAAATATGTGATATTTAAAAAAATAAAAAATAAATTATTGAACTCAATGGAATTTTATAATATTTAATAGGGAAAATTCCGCCCTAGTCTTACTTTTCAATCCTAAAGACAAAGAAGTCCTAAAAAAAAAAAATTTATAGATCAAATAAGTGATACTTTATATAAATATTTCCAATAAAGTTCTAAATTAAATATAATCCCTATTTTACACTTTCCATAAATATAATCCCTAGTTCCCTACTTTAACCAAATTTAATAGGGCGGGTGATTCCTCTGTTGCACCAAGATCTCTCCAGGAATACCGTGGGTGGAGATATTCCGACCAAATAGGCCAGTTTCAGAACATCGAGTTTTGGTTCTTTTGTTAGTGTTAATAGATTTCTGATTTTAATAATTTTTTTAACTTCTTATGATTTTCAATTTTAAAATTTTTTCAAAAGGAATATTTTTCTTTGAATTACAGATTCTTTGAACTTCTCAAAATAAAATCATATTATGAATGAATGATTAGTTGAAGATAAATATATAAAACCGTTCATAGAGGGTGCTATCATGAACTTACAAATTATTTAATCTATTTATAATTTAATCCCATATATAGTATTTGAAAGTATAAAGAATTTCCCCTTCTTATAGAGAGAGAACTTCTTCACTCCAATTGCCTTTTTCCCTCTCGATTCCCCTTATTTATAGACGGTTACAACCTCCTTTGACCTGGGCCTTATCCACTTCCCTTTGCCTGGACTCAACTTCCCTCATTTTAACATGGGCTTCTGAAATGACTAGATGGACCTGGGGCCCATCCGGCGCGAACTTGCTCTATCCCGTTTGTCCACACCCGACCCGTCCTATACAATGTGGATCACACCAAACCTGGGTCATTTTGGTGTCCTCATCTGCCCCCAATAATCTCTTTCCTCGTTAATGAGGGTGAGATTATTGAAAGGACACGATCTTGGTCTGACGGCTTAGAGCAATGACTCGAGGAATCGAACGGCTGGCACAAGAACCCAAGTTTCGAGATCTGCAGCGCCACTTTTTGCTTTGACCTTTTGAGTTCCATGTCGCTTTTACTTCTCCTCTTTATAAATTCTGATCTCTCAACCTTCACCCTTCCTCTTACCACTCGCTTCTATTCTCTGTTGCTTTCCTGCACATTCCGGCGATCCTTTTTAATTTCTTCGGCAAGTTCTTCCGGCAAGTCCTTCCTTTTCGATTTTTAGCTACTGTGCCGTTGCTGAGTTCATCACAAACTTTCAAGGTTAGTTTTTTTTTTTTTTTTAAACCTCTCCTTAAGAGACGCCTTTACTGCCTAGGACTCTTCCCCTTTTTTATGGCTTCCCCTAACCTGAACGCCATTCGATCCAAGAATTATATTCCTCGCGACATTTCTCTCAGAGTCTACCCAACACACTTAGACGAGAGATCTGGCGAAGGTCTTCTTCCTGGGGAAGTTTTATTCTCCGCCGTTCACTTGAACGTCATTAGGTTCCCCGTACACCCGTTCTTTTGCTATGCTTTCAACAAATTGGAGCTCTGCCCCCTACAAGTTAACCCAAACTTTCTTAGGGTAATTTCAGTCCTCCTACTCTTGAATCATGATAGGGGTCTCAATCTTAACATTATTGACCTTCTCCTCTGCTATCGGATTAACAAGATTTCACAAAACGACTTGTACTATCACTTCTTTCCTATTGACAAACGGTCGATCTGCACTGATAAAAGCTCATTTAAAAAAGGTTGGAGGCAGAATTTAATCGTGGTTGGTGGGAATTGGCGGACTTCGCTCGGCCATTCCTTCCCTATCCTTTCTTCCTTTGGAGCATGTTCTGTCTCTGGCTACAAAAAGCTAAAAACACATCCTACCGAATGCCACTGTGAAAGTTGTCTTCCCCGTTTTTGCACTTTTCTTTGTAGATGCCTTCAAATTCCCCATGATGAACTAGTTTATAGCGTCTGCAGGGCTAGGCTAGATACCTTGCAAGAAAGTGTGCTGAACGATGTCCCTTTAGCTACTGATTTGCTTACATCTGATAATCTCTTTGACATCTCTCTTTTAGGGTCTACAATGGAGAATATTCAGATCCCATCGTTCAGTAAGAGGAGGCGTCCTGCTCCCACCCCTCCTAACGCTCCTGCCATCATTTCATCATCCACACCTGTTTCCACATCATCTCTCCTTGCTGTCTTTGCCCCAGAGCAAGTTGCGGTTGCCCCAGCTGTGATTCAAGTCTCAAACCATTCTGTTGATGCGCCCTCTGAGCTCACCCATGCTGAGAACCCTGTTGTGGGCCATACTGCTGAAGTCCGTCCTGCTGCCCCCATCATTATGCCATTAAACATCTCGTCCGACACTTCCTCAGAGAGCACTCAGGATGCTGGAAATTCTGAGGACAATGGGGGGCCAGCTAATGCTGTTCTGTCAAAAAAGAGTTTAGGAAAAGGCCAATGCCTGAGGGCGGTTATGATCAGAGTGATATCCCACCGACCCGAAGGATTAGGACGGCTTCCTTCAGGGTTACTGAACCATCGCCCCCTGCCCGGTTCTTCATTCCTGAAGGCGAGTCGGCCAGAACCTCTGGTCCAATTCCATCCGTTCTTCTATGGCGACCTTTGCTCAGTCGTGAAGATGGATCAACCATTGGCCCCACTGACTCAATATACAAGGACCCCCTCACCTCATTTGCTTTCTACAAGGGTTTCTGAACCCCCAAAGACCTTGAAATCCAGAACAAGCTATCCTTTGGTGAGATGTTCCAACGGTTCCCGACCGCTGCTATGGAGGTGACTCTTCTTCTACTGAAATGTGTTCCTTTTCTGTTATGATTCCTTAGTAGTTAGTCTGACCTGAATTTCTTTTTCTTCATGCAGACTCTATTCGGGATGTTCACCTTTCAAAAAATAATTGAAACTCTGAACAAAAAGCTTAAATCCCTCTCTGTGGGCCTTAAAAGGTCTGTTGAAGCAGAGAATCTTCTTGAGGCTAGAGGGAGTCTAAGCTTAGGGAGTCAGAGAAGGGAGTTGCTGACCTAAAGGCAGAGAGAGACAGTCTGGCAAACGAGAGGGATTCTCTCAGAGTTGAACGGGATTCCCTGAAGACCGAACGAGATTCTCTTCATGATGAGGTTGACATCTTGAAAACTGAGAAGAGTGTGGCTCTGACAGAAAGGGACTCTCTCAAAGCTGAAAAGGGAAACCTTCAGCGCTCAATCATTGTTGAACGGTTGTCGCGTGCGAACTCCCAGGAAAAACTTCTAAACAAACGGTCTTCCCTGATGAACATGATCGGCAGAGTCGAAGGGGGTATGAGAGCTCTCCTTGCTCGCTTTACCAGGACCAGTGCCATCTGGTATGCTGAAGGGTACAGAGACGGTTTTGTTGACCGTTCTCCCCCTGAAGGTGAATCAAGTTCTTGTGCTGGTCCTGATGAACTAGATGCTTCTCTGGACATTCACCCCCCAAACAATTATCAAAATCCACTATGCGACCCTGCTGAGAATATTTTTATGGAATGCATAGAGGTCGCATCTTCAGGAATTGTCCCACCATTTCATCCCCTGAACATTCTTCCCCTTTCTACCATCGTGCCCTCTTCCTCAGTTGCTGCCGACAGACCTATGCCTGCCGAGGGGGTGATTCATCTCGACTCCCCTTCTAAGGATGATAGGGCAGATGAGAATGGAGAAGATCTCAATGGTCCAGAGGAAGATGGTGGCGAGAATGACAAGTTACAGCCTGGAGAAGATCAGAACTGACACCCAATAGCAGTTTTTTTTTTTTTTTTCTTAAAATCTGCATGTATGGTACTACGTACCTTGGGGCCTTTTTGGTTATGAATGATAATGCTTTTGCTCAGCATCACTTTCCTCCTTTGAGTTTTCTATTTTCAGCTTTGTAGTGTATTTTCACAAGTGCTTAACGTTCGGCCATGTCACCATTCTGTCCTTTTCTTACTCATTTGTGAGCAAGTGTTTGGCGTTCGGCTTGAAGTGCCAGCTGCCACTAACTTGCTGAATGCCTGGCGCTCAGCTTGAACGCCACTTGCCACTTGGCTTTTCTTTTTTTTTTGAGCAAGTGTTTGGCATTCGGCTTGAAGTGCCAGCTGCCACTAACTTACTGAATGCCTGGCGCTCGACTTGAACGCCTCTTGCCACTTGGCTTCTTTTTTTTTTGAGCAAGTATTTGGCGTTCGGCTTAAAGTACCAGCTGCCACTAACTTGCTGAATGCCTGGCGCTCGGCTTGAACGCCTCTTTCCACTTGGCTTTTTTCATTTTTTTAAGCAAGTGTTTGGCATTCGGCTTGAAGTGCCAGCTGCCACTAACTTGCTGAATGCCTGGCGCTCGGCTTGAACGCCTCTTGCCACTTGGCTTTTTTCATTTTTTTGAGCAAGTGTTTGGCGTTCGGCTTGAAGTGCCAGCTGCCACTAACTTGCTGAATGCCTGGCGCCCGGCTTGAACGCCTCTTGCCACTTGGCTTTCTTTTTATTTTTTGAGCAAGTGTTTGGCGTTCGGCTTGAAGTACAAGCTGCCACTAACTTGCTGAATGGGAAGAGTGTAAATTTTTAACAAAGAAGAGACTTTTTATAAAGCATGGAAATTTCGTACACTTGCAAGCATGCAATTTAGAGCGTACATATTGCTTGAAATTAAACTCTACTTTTACTGGTAGTACCTTTTAAGAGATGTAGCATTCCATGGCTTATTGACCACCCTTCCTGTCATAGTTTCTAGGACGTATGCCCCCTTCCCTATGACCTCTACTATTCTGTACGGACCTTCACATGGGGAGAACATCTTTGTGGCTATTCCCACCTTCCTTTTCAGAACCAGATCGCCAAGAGTGAAACCCCTGTGCCTCACCTTCTTGTTATGGCTATTCACAAGCGTCTATTGATAAGAGGCAAGCCTCACTGCAGCCGCATCCCTTTTTTCTTCCAACAAATCAAGATTGAACCTCAGCATTCTATCATTCTGCTCTTGATCCCACGCCAAGCTCCTTACACTTAGAACCAACTGCTCGACTGGTATCACCGCCTCGGTGTCATAGGCCATAGCGAATGGGCTCTCTCCAGTTGGCCGTCTTGGGGTTGTTCTGTAAGCCCACAAGACGTTCGGTAGCTCATCTAACCATTTGCCGTTTTCATTCTCCAGTTTTTTCTTAATACAAGCAAATATTGTCCTGTTTGTGATTTCGGCTTGACCATTAGCCTGGGGATGATTGACTGCTGCTAACTTCTGATTGATTCCATATTCTTCCAGCAACTCTCTCACTTGCTTGCTATCGAGGTTGGTTCCATTGTCCATCATGATTGACTTTGGTATGCCAAAACGACAGATAATATTATTCCAGATGAAGCGTCTTACTTGAGTTTAGGTGACACTAGGGTACGGCTCTGCTTCTACCCATTTGGTGAAGTAATCAGTAGCTAGCAGAACGTACTTATTCTGTGATCTTGCAGTCGGCAAAGGGCCAACCACGTCCATCCCCCACTGTGCGAAAGGCCATGGGGTGGCCATTACGTGCAGGTCTTTAGGTGGTTGATGTATCAATGACCCGAACCTCTGGCATTTATCGCATCTTGTAGAGAATTTTTCTGCATCTCGTGCTATGTTTGGCCAGAAGTACCCCTGTGTCATTGCTTTGTGTGCTAAAGATCTTCCTCCGGAATGATTTCCGCATACTCCCTCGTGAATGGTTCGCATAATCTGTCTAGCTTCTGCAGGGGTAGCACACTTCAAATATGGACCCGAGAAGGAGCGTCTATACAACTGATCATGCACAATGGCGTACTTTGCTACGCTGGACCTAATTTTTCTTGCCTCATCCTTACGCTCGGGGAGTGTACCATTATGTATGTAAGCCATGATTGGATCAATCCAGCTCGGCTCATATGGTATAACATTAACATGCTGAGTGCTCGGATTAGGCAGCTCTTCAAAAATGGAAAGTTGGATTAGTATGTCGACCGGGATGACCCTAGCTAAAGTATCTCCAGAACTGGATGCACTACAAGCCAAGCGGTCGGCATCTTCGTTATACTCTCTCGGCAATTGGATAAACCTGATCTGATCAAAGGCTTTCGCCTCACGTAGAACCGCAGTTCGGTATGCTTCCATGGTCTTATCCTTGGCCCTATAGTCCCCATTGACTTGTCGAATGACTAGTTGTGAATCACTATAAGCAATCAGATTCTTGATCTTTCGTTCTTTAGCCAACTTCATCCCAGCTATCAATGCCTCGTATTCTGCCTCATTGTTGGTTGCGTTGAACTCTAGTCTTATCGCTTGGCTCAGCGTAGTTCCTTCAGGTGTTTGCAATTGAATTCCAATCCCGGCCCCCATTTGATTCGAGGAGCCGTCCACGAAGAGCTTCCACCAGTTAAGTAGGAAATCCGCCACCGTATCTTCAGCATCACAGTTAAGTAGGAAATCCGCCACCGCTTGACCTTTGATTGCCGTCCTGGGCTCGTACGCGATATCAAATGAACTCAATTCAATGGCCCACTTGGTCATTCTCCCCGACAGGTCCGGTTTGTGCAGGATCATTCTCAAAAGGAAAGTTGTTAAAACGACGATTGGATGGGATTCAAAATAATGTCTAAGCTTCCTTTTTGCGTTGACCAGCGACAAGATCATTTGTTCGGCCCTAGAGTACCTTCTCTCCGGTTCAGGCATTATCTTGCTAACATAAAACACCGGGAACTGCTTGCCCTCTTTGCAACGGATCAGAACGGCATTGGTTGCTATACTGGACACCCCGAGATATAGAAAGAGTTTCTCATTCGGTTCTGGAGCAAACAGAACCGAAGGACTACGCATGTACTCCTTCAGGCTGGTTAGCGCCTGCCATTGCTCATCCCCCCAGGTTTGTCTTCCGTGCCCTCGAATTATATCAAAGAAAGGTTTACAGCGGTCTGAAAGCTTGGAAATAAATCGGCTCAGTGCGGCTATCCGGCCTGTGAGTGCCTGCACCTCTTTAATTGTCTTTGGCTCTGCATTTCTGATCAAGGCTTCTGCCTGCGCTGGGCTGACCTCAATTCCTCTATGATTGACCACATGTCCCAGGAATTGACCGGAGCTTACGCCGAATGAGCATTTGGCCAGATTAAGCTTCATCCCATACTGGCGCAACACACCGAACACATCTTGCAGGTGCGCTAAATGATCGCTCTTCTTCTTACTCTTGACCACCATATCATCAATATAAGCCTCGACAGTGCTACCCATTTGGCCCTTAAAAATCTTGCTGATCAGCCTCTGATAAGTAGCTCCAGCGTTTTTTAATTCGAATGGCATGACTTTGTAGCAATAAGTCCCTCGTTCAGTAACAAATGAAGTTTTCTCTTCATCAACTAGGTCCATAGGAATTTGATTATAACCGGAATAAGCCTCCAGGAAGGTTAACCGCTCATATTCTGTGGTGGCATCTACCATTTGATCAATCCTGGGCAATGGGAAATTATCCTTTGGGCAGGCTTTATTCAGGTTAGTGAAGTCGATGCATACTCTCCATTTCCCATTCTTCTTCTGCACTACAACAACGTTAGAGAGCCAGGCCGGGTACTGAACTTCTCTGATGAATCCGGCTTCAAGCAGCCGATCAACCTCCTCAGCTATAATCTAATTTCGTTCTGGAGCAAATCTCCTTTGCTTTTGCTTCACTGGCTTTGCATTCGGATCCACATTGAGGGAATGACAAGATACAGCAGGATTTATCCCTAGCATATCTGAATGGCTCCATGCGAATATATCCGCATTCCGAATCAAGAAATTAGTCAACTCTAGTCTTTCTTCTTCAGTGAGTCTAGTTCCCACCCTTGTTGTTCAGTCTGGTTTCTCATGATCAATCTTCACTTCATGAAGGGGTTCTATGGTCAGAACTGGTGGCTCCTCCTCCCCATCCTTACTGGGAGGAGGGTTCTGTAATTGCTATTTTGGACTGGCTGAACGGATGGGATTTTTGCCTTTTCCAGCAGATTTCAAAGTTACTGAATAACATTTTTTAGCCGCAACCTGGTCCCTGTGTATATCTATCACCTTGGTCCCATCCGGACCCAAACATCGCATCACTTGATGTAAGGTTGACGGAACGCCCTGAATTCTGTGAATCCATCCTCTGCCCATCAAGAGGTTGTATGATGGATGAATTTCCACTACCACAAAACTTTCAGTCAAAACCCGCTCAGCAGCTTGTACTATCAATTCCACCATTCCAATGGGTTCCACTCGCTTCCCATCAAATTCGAGCAACGGATTTCCTGTGGGTTTGAGTTTTTCGGGTTCGATCTCCAGTCGATCGAACGTCACCCTGGGCATGACATTCGCACTACTTCCTGGATCAATCAGGACTCTTCGAACCAGGCACTCTGTAATCGTCAGACTGACGACTAGTGGATCTTCATGAGGAATCTGAATGCGTAGCAGGTCCATTTTATCAAACTTTATCGATGTGGACGCGTTCTACTGGTGCAAAGCATGCACACTACCAATTCTTCTTTTCAGCTGGGTCTGGCGTAACCTCGTTCTGAGCAACTCCTCTGACTCCGTCATTTGTTCAGGCCGGCCATGAATTACGTTTATAATCCGGACGGGCTGAGAGTTGTGTTGGTTCGGCCTCTGGTTCCGCTTGATTTGTTCAGTCGGGCGGTTATGCTCTTGCGCCGGACCTTGAACATAGCTTGCAAATTCCCCCTTTGCGATTAGCATCTCTACCTGCCTCCTTAGGTTCCTGCATTTGTTAGTCTAATGCCCAAAATCACTATGGAAAGCACAATGTTTAGTCTAATCCCTCTGTTCAAGAGGTTGCCTGATTGGCAGAGGAGGACGAAACTTATCTTTGTTCTCCTGGTATAGCCTTGCTAAGGTGACTCTGAGTGGAGTGACTGATTCCTCCTCCCTAGGCCTCTTCTCCGCCTTCCATAAGGGGTGACGTTGCGATTGAGCTTGTTTCTGCCGGATCTTGGCTTTGGACTTCTCCTCTGTCGAAATAATTGACGTCTTCCTTGAATTAGCTGCTTCTTCCTCCTCAAGGCGAACAAAACCGTCAGCTCTCTCGTTCAGCTCGTCCATTGTCTTTGGCGTATTAACCACCAAGCTGGTGTGGAACGGCGTCCCCCGGTTCATTGCGAGTTTAAATGCTTGGACTGCTGTTGACAGGTGACACTCCATTACCATGCTTTTAACGAGGTTGAACCGGGTGAGAAAAGCTTGGAGCCGCTCATCCTCATGCTGCTTCATTGTGAAAAGGCTCGATACATCCTTAGCCGGACGCTTATTCCCGTAGTACTGGCTTATGAACTTATCGCATAAGTCCTAGAAACTGGCGATTGAGCCTTAAGCCAGATTCTTGAACCAATTAAGAGCTGGTCCAGCCAAGCTCGTAGGGAAACACTTGCACATCAAAGGATCATTATTAGTATTCAAAGCCATTTTCAACTGAATATGGTATATGTGATCGACCGGATCGGTTGTTCCGTTAAACAGAATGAAGATCGGCATGGAAAACTTTTTCGGATTCGGCGCGTTCATAATTTCATCAGTGAACGGCGATGCGACCGTCCTTGCTGAAGAACACAATGCTTCGTTTTCTTTTGAAAATCGTGACGGAAATCCCCGATCGACAGATCTCCTTTCTGAGCTATGGTAATCAACTGTCGCTAATAAAGGTCGGTATGGCGGATCGAACGACCTGTCCTCCGTAAATTCACTCCGCCATGGTGACGCAATCCCATGTTCATATGCCGGTGCTTCCTCCCTCATAATCCATTTGTGATGCGGTTCCAGACGAACAGATCCTTCTCGATCCTCTACTCGGCCGACATTCGGAGGCAGATTACCGATTATACCTTCATCACGACGTGGACCACCACGATTGATATCTTCTGGATCACCTTGACGATCAGCTTCGGACGGTAAAGCTCCCTCTCCTTCAGGAGGCGGCCTCGAAATTGCAGGAGCCTCACGATGCTCTATTCCAGCTTGTAGCTCTGCATTTTCTTTCCTCAGAGCATTGATCATGTTCATTAGCTTATCGAGCTTTGTCTGCTAGCCGTTCTCCAAAGAATTCGAGTTCGCCTCTCCGATCATCATTCCAGATCGGAGCAAAGTCATCAACTGTAGGCTTCTTGACCAAATCAGAGTTCCGCTAACGCGCGCACACCAGATCTGAACTTACACTTGCCGAATTCAGTCCACTACTGGCCGGATTCAGTAATCACAACCGCGCAGTTCACCGGATCAAGCACGGATCTGATCTGCTTGGATCGGACGCCAATTTTCCGAAATCAACCGGAGCCTGGACTCGTCAAGACAGATCGTATTATTACTAATGTTGATTCAGCTTTCACAGATTAATCGTCTTCCTCGCAGAATGCGTTGAATCGATCCGATCCGGAATGATATCAATCAATCCTTCCTGTTCTTCCCACAGACGGCGCCAATTGAAAGTACAAAGAATTTCCCCTTCTTACAAAGAGAGAACATCTTCACTCCAATTGCCTTTTTCCCTCTCGATTCCCCTTATTTATAGACGGTTACAACCTCCTTTGGCCTGGGCCTTATCCGCTTCCCTTTGCCTAGACTCAACTTCCCTCATTTTAATATGGGCTTCTGAAATGACTTGATGGACCTGGGCCCATCCGGCGCGAACTTGCTCCATCCGTTTGTCCACACCCGACCCGTCCTATGCAATGTGGATCACACCAAACCCGGGTCATTTTGGTGTCCTCAGTATTATCATTAGTTTTTTTTATTTTATCGATATTTCAACTATGTTCAATCCGATATATAAGATTATCATTGGTTTTTTTTATTGCTAACAGTTTCATAGCTGAATGCACAGAGATCAAGCCTCTACAACACCCTGCAACACTATAAGCTACCAGAGACTGCCTCACTTCAAATGACCCAAAAAAATAATAATAATAATAAAATTTGCTCTCACCGGACCGAAACACACCATGAAATACAAGTTACAACCATGTGAATTAAGTTCTATACAAAGAAAATATTTAAATATAAATTTCAAAACTTATCCGATTATTCTCAATTTGATACACGCGAAGGAACTTGTTAAGGAACTCATGAATACCAAGTTAGAAACTTAATCAAGCTCATAGAACAATTGAATAGATTTTAATTAATTCTTTTAATTAAAATCTCTAGATTTTGAAACTCATCAAAATGCTCTCAAATTAAAGTATGGTATAAAATATGCCAAGACTTGATTTAATAGCATGATACAAGTAATTTTCATGCAAGTTACAACCATGATAATTAAACCTTCATACAAGAAAAATAATAAATGAAAGGTTTCAAAACCTAATCAAATATTCCCGATTTAATATATGTGAAAATATATGGCATGCACATCAATAATATCAAGTCAGAAATCTATATCAAGTCAGAAATCCATATCAATTCAGAAATCTAATGGAGTGAATAGTACACTTGGAATAAATTAATTAATCAAATTAATTAATCATCTCTAGATTTTAAAACACCTCCGATTACTCTCAAATTCACCTATGTTAAAGAGTATGCTAAGGCATAATATAATATGATATTAGATAATGATTTCAAGCTAGATAAGGCCACATGAATTAAATTTTCTTTCAACAAAAATATTAAATAAAAACTTTAATACTTGTCCAAATACTCTCAATTTTAATATATGTTAATGAACATATCAAGGGGTAATTTAATGTCATGTCACATGTTTAAACTAAGCTATAACCAACCGAGAAAATCAAATCTCACACAAGAAAAATAAATAATAAAATTTATGGATTTAATACAAAGACATGTAAATGAGTTGTATAAGCATCAATAGCATGCAATACATCAAGAATATAAACTATAACATCCCTTACCTCAATTTGAGATGAAAATCTCAACTCCCCACCGAAAGAAAAGTGTTCTGAATCCGACGATACTGCAGGGTTATGTCGGGGACAATGAGAGGAACAACTTTAACCTTTGAGGTACCATAAAAATCCAAACCCGAACACAAAAATGGTCAAAAATGGATAAAAGGTAAAGCACGAAGAGGCCTACGATAAACGTTAAGGCGGAAGACTTTTTACAAAGGAAATCAAGTGGAGAAGAAGAAAGAGTGGTGGCAGCCCCTTGGGCTCCCATGGCTGCCGGCCAAGAGGAAGAAGAAGGGCTGAAATGTTGTCTTTAGAAATTAGGGCAACCTATTTATAGAAATTCCAAAAAGTGCCCCGAAAGGGCCACGCCAGGTCTGGAAAAGTGGAATTTTAGCAAACGCGCTCAAATGGCAAAACTCCATGAACAAGAAAGAACCAAAATGAGAAAATATGAATAACGGAAGAAACAACATCAAAAACTGAGTTCCGAGCAAAAAGATATGCCCCAAACAAGTTTAGCAACAACCAGGGTCAGAAATCCCTAAAACTGGGGAAAACGACCAAGAGGAAATTCTAAGAGTTCACGAGTTGACGAAAAGTGAAAATGAATTCCGTAAGAGAATTCAGGATCAAAACGAGATATTTTGCAATAACTTTCATTAATTGCACAATAGCCCCTACAAAAAGGGTTAACTGTACTAAGACCTAGAATGAAAATATCTTCCAAAAATATTTTCTTAAAAACCCCTAAAATAAAATATCTTCGAAAAATATTTATGAAAAACACTCCAAGAAAAGAAAAAGATTTTGAAGAATTGTGCATCAATGCCCCTATGGACACCGAGAGCAACCAGAATACTTTTTTACAAAAGTAAAGATACGTATTTTGTGGAAACCACATAGAATGAAGATATGTGAAGTCAAAAATCAACTCCGAGCACGAAAAGTGAGGTTGTGCCAAAAAGTGACAAACGGAGAAAAGACAAAATAGAGAAAATGACGAAAAGTGAATAGTGTCTAAAAAGTGAAAATGTGGAAATGATTCGGTCCTTAAAGAAAGTTGTCAATCCAAACGAAAGAGTCTCAGAAACAATTTCCAAGCACTCGAGACGAGACGCAATCACGAGAAACAAAACTCGGAAAAGAAAATTAAACGAAAAAAATTTATCCATAAAATTTGAAAAAAAAAAAAAAAAAAAAAAAAAAGGGAGAAAAATGACTGGGTCATTACATGTAATACCCTTAATTTTAAAAAGGATATTCCTGGTATCTAATGGTATTTAATTTATTATTTAAGTGCATTTTATTTGATTATGTGTCATTTTTTTTTATTAGGTGCTTAATTATTTCTTTTGTGGTGATTTAATTTATTTAAATGATATTTATTTTTAGTTATTTGATTGGAATTACTTGTTAGTATTTTAATTATTTAATTGGCATTAATGGTTTAAGTGTAATTGGTTTAATTATTCTATGTGTGTCTTATTTGGTTTAATTGGGTTTACTAATTATTATTTTGTTCAATTAGATTATTTGTTAAGTATTTAATGGTGAATAGGG